GTACCAGCTGAAGCACTGAAGTCAGACATTGAAATAACTGCAAACATGCTTCACCTTCTATTCAAGAAGATTTGGGAAGAGGAACAAGTGCCAACATACTGGAAAGAAGGACACCTCAACAAGATACCAAAGAAAGGAGATCTCAGCAAATGTAAGAACTATAGAGGCATCACACTACTATCGGTACCAGGAAAGTTTTCAACAGAGTGTTACTGAACCGGATGAAAGACGCAGTAGACGCCCAAATTCGGGATCAAAAGGCTGGATTCCGTAACGATCGGTCATGCACAGACCGAATCGCAACACTACGGATCATCATTCAATAGTCAATTGAATGGAACTTGCCACTAGCATCAACTCCATCGACTATGAGAAGGCGTTTGATGGTGTAGACAAGAGAACATTATGGAACCTTCTTCGACGCTATGGGGTTCCTGAGAAAATTGTCAACATTATCCGGAATTCATACAACGGACTACAGTGCAAAGTCGTGCATGAGGAACAGCTGACTGATGCATTTCCATTAAGGACCGGAGTCAGACAAGGTTGTCTACTCTCTCCCTTTCTCTTTCTTATGGTGATTGACTGGATTATGTAGGCCTCAATATCTGAGGGGAAGCACGGAATACATTGGACACCTCAGAATCAGTTGCGCGATTCGGACTTCGTAGATGACCTAGCCCTCCTATCTCATACACATGAAGAAATACAAACGAAGACAACAAAAGTAGCAGCAGCCTCCACATCGATTGACCTCCACAATCACAAAGTAAAAAGCAAGATTCTCAAATACAACACGGAGAATGCAACCCAATCACACTTGATAGCGAAACTCTGGAAGAGGTGGAAACATTCACGTACCTGGGAAGCATCGTTGATAAACAAGGAGGATCTGATGCAGATGTAAAGGTGAAGATTGGCAAAGCAAGGGCAGCATTTCTACAATTGAAGAACATATGAAATTCAAAACAACTATCAACTAATTTCAAGGTCACAATCTTCAATACGAACGTCAAGATAGTCCTACTGTATGAAGCTGAAACGTGGAGAACTACTACGACCATCATCAGGAAGGTACAAGTATTTATAAACAGTTGTTTTCGCAAAATACTCAACATCCACTGGCCGGATACTATCAGCAACAGCGTTTTATGGGAGAGGACAAACCAGCAGGTTCCAGCTGAAGAGGAAATTAGAAAAAGACGTTGGAAGTAGATAGGACACACATTGGAGAAATCATCAAACTGTATCACTAGGCAATCGCTAACTTGGAATCCGGAAGGGAAGCGGAAAAGAGGAAGGCCAAAGAACACATTAAGCGGGGAAATAGAAGTAGATATGAAAAGGATGAATGTTAATTGGAAAGGATTGCTGAGGACAGGGTTGGATGGAGAATACTGGTGTGTGGCTTGTGCTCTTCAACGAGGGGTAACAGGTGTAAGTAAGTAAGTTAGTATGTTTCGAATATGAAATAACTTATATAATTGTTTTTATAATTTTTCAAATTTTATGACTGTATATACTCTCGAAGAACTAGCCTTTAATAAATAACTGTTAACAATAACATGTAAAGCTGTTATCTTATCCCTCCCCAAAGACTGTATTTTAGTCTTAAATATGTGAGTATACTTTGTACTATAAGGTATGCTTGTACAAATTGATTAGTTTTCTTTAATAGTCGCTCATAAACCTGTTGTTTTAGATATGACTAAAGCGTTGTTTATAGTCTTGGTTTGTATCCACTTATTGATTTTACATTCAAATATAAACTATGTAGAAATAATTATGAATTTCTGAAGATTTTTGTCTTAGAACTTTTCAGTACTTCAACTAGTATTTTAGTTGTTGATTTATTTTGAAAGATGAGAATAATAAGTATCAAGGGAAAGTGTTCTCTGATTAAAATCCAATCAGTTTTATTATCAAAGAAATGTTCATATTTAATATATAATAAATATAAAATTATTTTTAAGTTTATTTAAATAGTTTCAGTATTATTATTTAATTAGTTTCCTTATTTTCAATCTTTAGACATTAAATATAATTAGTTCCACAATTAATAAATACTATAACAGAAGGGTTTTTTTGGAGATTTTAGTAATTTTAGAGTTGAAATCATGAGTCAATTGAAACTAGACCACCATGAGAAACCTGGAAGCACTGGATGGCCGTTTCGTTCTATTGTGGGACTCCTCAGCAATGCACATCCACGATCCCTCCTCGCGAGATTCAAAACCAGGACCTATCAGCCTCACGCCTAATTTAACTGGTTTCCTATCAGTGTAAATCATGTTATAATATTTCTGAAGTTTATTTAACTATAATGTAGTTGCATAAATGGAAAAAAGAAAAACTTTATTTTTGAATTCAACCTTTAACGAGTCACTTCATGTGTAATTACAGATCAAAACAATATTCGCTAAGGTGATTTCTTATAGATTTTGTGCAATTTGAAAGCAATTTTCATGAAGAACTGTAAAACAAGCGAAAGGTTGTAATTCAGTGGCATTAAGACTTAGTGTTCAATTTATAATCCAGTGAACTTTCACATAGATATTTACTTCAATATTATCATGAACACAAAACGTTTTGACTAAGTTTACATCCATTAAATATCAATGTAATGAATTTGATTAATAAATTGTTAGTTTAGACAATTTCCCAATTGGTCACTGCTTCTCACTAAAACAGCAGGAAATACCTCTTCAAGACAGTCGCTAGTGAATATGTTGATTAATGCCAGAAGGGGTTTTTGTGAATATTATAATAATTACAGTAATTTCGCGAGGCGAGATCGTGGATGCACACTCCTGAGGAGTCGCACAGTGGGACGAAACTGCCACCCAGTGCTTCCAGGTTTTTCATGGTAGTCTAGCTTCAATTGACTCATGATTTCAATTATTAAAATTTTCCATTTGGTTATTTAACTAATTCGTTTATCATACAATAAGGTTACATGATAAAAAACAAAACATCACAATTTCTTATTTAACTAACCTTGATTACCAGGTGTTTAAAAGTTAATGGCTCACTGATATTTTTAAAAATGTATTTTATCTTATTGATTGTAAAAGCCGAAGCTGAGTCATTATGCTTAACGTCAAAAATACAGCTTATTTGAAGCCTTGGGAATTAGCTGTTAAAAGTTTCAGAATGGGGATATGTGGAGATTGTAATAATTTCAATAGTTGAATTTGAGTTAATCTAAGCTAGACCATCATGGAAAACTTGAGGGCACTGTACCGCCGTTTCTTCTTGACATAGAAATCCTCGGAAGTGCGCATTCAGGATCCCACGTGTGGGACTCTAACCCAGGACCTTCGGTCTCGCGAGTGAACACTTAACCTCTAGACCCTTGAGTCGGCATCCAATGGTGGTAATGTCTAACTTCAGTCCATCCATCATATTGCACAGCCCTTCATCAATCGTCTGAAGTGGATAACTGCCACCACTGGACACTGATTGGTCTCCACTGGTTACGGCCTCTCACTAGAACCCCAAGGAACCCATTTCGAAGCTATCCGGCTTAGTGGTCTAGAGGTTAGGCGTTCGTGAGTGAGACCGAAGGTCCTGGGTTCGAGTCCCACACGTTGGATCGTGAATGCGCATTTACGAGGAATTTCATGATAGAACGAAACGGCGGTCTTGAAAACTGAGTGTAGATTATCTCTAAAGTATCAAAAAATTTTCGAAGCTGTATCTAGAAATGTGCACTCATCATGAAGGGTAACATATTGGTATTTATTATCATAAAACCTTTTATAGATATTCTGTTGAAAGCACTTTAAAAAGTCCTGGTATTATCTGTTTATTTTCTACTTACCTGTTGTATTTGACCTTGACAGTGAATCAAGTACAAGGAAATACTTATTAACTAGATTAAATGCTTTCGAATCGTTGATGCTGTCAGAGTGATAGTTGATCATGTTTATGGGTAGCTATCTATGATACGCGAATTTCGAAAATCGTAGCATAACAGTGAGTAATATTTTTCCAATGACAATACTTTGTCAGTAAATTGTTAGATATTACCATAGTTATATCATCTACAGGTTAAGTGACTTCATTGATAGTACGATTTCAACGAACCATTATGATATTATAGTTGTGCCCCAATAAGCATACATTCCACTACTAGTCGACTATACATAGTTCTAAATATTTTTGACCTTAACAATACATGAAACACTTCTAAACTGCTACTACTACCCGTAATACCTTGCCAGCCAAACTTAAAATTTCTTACAGGAGCAGTCTAATTCAAAACCAGTTATTTGTCAGTATTTTACATTAAAACACTATTAAATGAAAATTATTTAGTGTATTAAGCCATGCACCATACTTGAGAAATTTTACTGATATCAAAAATAACTACTGATCTGAATAATTAGAGTATACGACATGAGGTATGCAACTCAGTTGTGTTAAATTTCCATCTGAACTTAGAAGATAAATCATGAACAGGCTCTTGGTACTCGATTGATAAGACGTTCACATGAAACAGTCTAATTACTTTTCAAACTTGTGTTTGGTCTATGCAGAGTAAAATAACAGAATATTAAATACTAATTCACTATATAGATAAATTTCATTATGATCTGATCTACATGTGAAGAAAATTCCGTAGAATAAAGAAGACTGCTTTGACATAATTTCGGAATTATTAGCACTGCTTTTCTCCAGTATATGTAGAATCAAAATGAATAAATTCATATCTAATAGAATAAACAAAACTATTTTGGCTACTGACTAATAGTTTACTGGCTCATATTGAATAATTTCTATCACTTTACAATCACTGTGATCATTCTCTAAAACCGTTTGTAAGCTCCTTCATTTTCAAATAATTGCATTCCGTCAAAAAAACCCAGATTTTTTTATGTATCCTGAGTAAAACCGATACATAATTAAGCAATTTTCAAAGTTCAATGAAAGAAAAATCAGTATTTTCGTTAAAACTAGTAAGGTCTATCGATTAAAAGGTCATTCAATATACTTACCTTTAAAAGTTTTTTCAACATTTCATTAAAATTCATGAACATCAAAAGAAAACTATGAATAATTCACACAACTGTCGATTTGATCATAGACTTTATTCAAAACTCCATTTATTTAAAATTATTCCCATCCAAAAGAATCCAGATTTAACATTGTAATACTTAGTTTGTCGTCGTGATTGTTAACATAAAAAAAATAATTCGTTTCTATGATCTTATTCAACTAAATTATATCTTCTTATGAAAAAACACACACATGTAACCAGACAACATAATAATAGGAAGACGTTGAGTGTCACCAATAAATGTCAAGTTTATTCTCATTTATCTTTCTGTATTGGTTATCAAGGTAACAAACTATAAATGGAAAATATCATATTCTCCCACTTTTTTGTTAAAAATTACCCTAGGCCACGTATATAGATGTATGTGTATGTGTCATTATATATATATACCGTTCTTTATTACAGACGACTATTCAGTATTATATTCACAGTTGTCCGTTTGTGCATTTTTATGTGTGTTTTTTGTAAGTTTGTTCATATATACTTTATTTGCTTAAAGGTCAGTAAGAAACACCCAAAACTTCATTAGATGTCATCTTATTATTTTCTGTCCCATACTATTTGATTGGCACAAAAACTTATTTTTCTTTTTAAATTAGATAAGAATTGGAAAGTATGTATATAAACGTAATATAGTAAAAAATTTCTCGTTTTTTTAACTAATCTGACTCAGTCTGTGATATAATAAAAGTATAGAGATGTAAGCAACAGAAATAAATTCATTGTCCTAGTGAATAGAAGATTTTAACCTGATATAAGTTTTCAATTACAATTATAAATCATTAAAACAATCGATAAAAAGAAATAAGGAGATACTGGTATCTGATTCACTCTGTCATATGTGTAATTTAATTTATGAGATAATCAATTAGAATCAGTATGTGGTTATGGAAATTGTTAAATTTCTGATTGACATCATGAATCGACCGATGTTAGACTACCATTGAAAACATGGAACAAGTGAACGACCGTTTCGTCCTAGTAGGGGACTCCTCATTGGTGCACATCCACGTTCTCGCAAGTAGGATTCGAACTTAATGTTTAAGTAATTATTGAGGACTAAACTGAAGCATACGACTTGAATTCGTTTAAAAGTTCCAACTAATTTTTTGAAGTGATTTACTTAAATTATAAGATAATTATGAGTTTGTACATGGTACTTATGTTTCATGTTTCAAAGATATGTTTCATTTCTAATTATATAAAAGAGTTAACATATGTAATTCACTTCGCGGAAATGAATTATCTCAGGTGTATTAAGTTGTTTATTCGGAATGGTCATGATAATACAGCATGAATGTTAGTAAAATTTTTAAAACTTAGCTTATCAGGTAACGTTTTCATTAATTCAAAGGATTTATATTAGGTTTATCAGTAAATGTACACTGTTCAGATATGAAAGTACTAGAAATAAGTTATTTCTTTCAAATGAACAATTACTTGAAGCCATAGAACATATAGGTATGGCTATAAAACGGCTAAACACGTGCTTCTGCCCAAGTTTCCATATCATATTGGTAGGGCAGGATGGAATTAACTAAAGATCAAAATAATGTGGTAAAAATGATAATGGGAATGTCTGGACTTTTGGAAAATAGGACGAAAAGTATGTATGAAAGAATATTGTAATTTGAGATCGATATGATGGTATATAATGAATACATTTGGGTTACTTTGAATAGTTCCAAGTTTTATCAACCAAAGTCTTCAGTGTCTGAATACGTCTAGCATGTTTTTCCCAACCAAATAATTTGTATTTGCAAACATAACTCAGACTGTCAATCAATGACTACGTCTGTAATGAACGAACACTCAAGTGGGGACAACCAAACTATTTTAATTCAAAATTACTGAGTTCTTTGGTAAAATTTGAAAACCTTAATTCCAATACATCACTTGGAAATCCTCCATCAATCGCCTCGAACTTCATCATTCTTTCATTGCCATAACAATTATTGCTATTACCATAATTTTCGTTACTTCATTACAACTAGTTAATTATCGACTGTATCCATTCATTGCATAACAAATTAATTTGTTATTAAAAGTTATCAATATTTATTAGATTTATTAGAATTTAAAACATCAACTAACTATCATCAGTGAGATGGCGGCTTGGTTGTCAACCAAGAGGACTGTAGTTTCAGCATAAATTTCACATTATACTTAGTTGCATAAAATGTTAATGTAGTGTGAGAAATAAGTCAACATATTATAGGCAACATTTTAAATTCAATGTAAACGTGAACTTTATCCTTTCTAGGGGACGTAGAATATGCTAGTACTTTTTTCACTATTTATATTTTACTCGAGGAAATATTCTTCCATTTATGCGATGTCATGTTATCTATCTCTTCAGTCACTCTAATACACAGTTTTTCGTATTTAAATGTAAGTAGTATCAGGTACTATTCATAAGAAACAAGGCATATGGAAACTTATTTTACTCAATAGTAAATAAAGCTTTTAAATGAAGAGGTGTTCTTAGGGATTTCAAACTGTATAATCTAAACCGTGTAAGAACATGTTATTTGACTACATGTGATTCATTCATTCTTGGGACGATTACTTTGTTTAATGTCTCAAAGATTCAATTGATTCTCATCTGCCTGAACAATAATAATTTTTTTATAGGTATCATTACCAAGTCTTGATTTGATAATTTTGAATAAATTGAGCATTGGGTAGATTGTTTTAAATAAATTATATATTTGTAATATCCCAATGAGTAGATTTATTTAAAATAATAGTATTTATTATCTATTTTGTTTTCAAAACTGCTACTGGTTTATTATATAACGAAACGTGTTATCACCTAAATGAAATTTTAGTTTCATCGCCTTTGTGCAAAAGTTTACTTTTAACTTTAGTTCATGCAAATGGGATTTAGACAAATAGTCTAAATTCAGTGAAGGAGTACACGATTTACTTTGAATTATGTTTAGTGTATTCTTTTTATATCCTGTTTTTGTAAATATTATCACTTTATAAAATGTTCGAAAAAAGTAATAAATGGATTACCGTATTTTTATTAATCTAAAAATTTCTTATTTCAGTTTCGATAAAAGTGTTATCTAAATTAAGATTAATGGATAAAAATGTTTCGATTATATGTATGCTGAGAATGAATAATCGGATTAAAGATGAATTTTTGATGATACTTTTGCAGTGAACAAGAACACGGATGGGGACAATCGAATGTATTTAGGCAAAAATTACAGACTATCTCACTAAATTCTGATTACCATACACTCAACAGTTAACTTGCAAAATAACAATCAATTGTCGCAATCTTAACTTTTCCTTCTACAAATATCAGTCCGTCTTCTCTGATTTCATTGTTCATGCATTTTCATACCGATTGGACTTCATTACTGTTCTTTCCTTATCGATTTCTGCCAAAATACATTCTAAGTCTGACCTTCGCCATATACTACTTATGTGGATATAAGTAGACCACACCACACTTTCACAACATCATTTGTACATCTGGTCAGATCATGAGTAAGGTAGTCTCCCCATTTATTATATTGTGAGGCACCCCAGCATTATACCAACTTAAATGTTGATTTATTCATTATCATTATTATTATTTATGGCTTTATTCAATAGTATATGTTTAGCTCAACTTGAAATTCCCATTGTACAGATAATCATCTATGTATTTTACCCCAATAAACTAACATTTTAAACTAAGATTTATCAGCTATACATATTTCAATCTCTTTCATGTAATAACAAAATTTTCAATAAGGATACTTATTTAGTTCTTCACATTAATTTGTTATTATTTTTACAGGAAATATGACTAGACAACTTTGAATTAGACAACGAACAATACAATTTAATAGACATATACACTCTTAACAATGACTAGTTCATTTAAACAAGAATAATGAATAAAAAAGATTATTATAAATAGTAATATGTAAAATCAATTTTATTTAAAATTTAATTTAATTTAGTTAAGTGGATAACGTTATGGCGTTTAAAGCAAACGGTGCTGGATTGGAGTCCCAGAGTGAACATCAACTCTGAAATGCAGATACATCCAGTTAACGAGTCCCAAATAGGACGAAACGCGTATCCTGGATTCCACTACTAATCACTATCTATCTTTGCTAATAATCTTTAAATTTATGAAATTAAAAACAATTTTTTTTTTGTTAATGAAATCTAAGGTACCATGATTATTTTATTTTTACAGACTAATAAACAATATGTTTTAGACAGAAAAAGAAAATGGATAATCTTACGTAATTCAACTATTAAATATTAATGGACACAATTTTGATGTTATCTAAAGCTATTTTTTAGGTTGTTTATGTTCACTGTGGCGGCCTGCTTAAACATCTGGGCTACCTGTTTTCCGTCATCTATATATTTCAACAAGTTATCTAATATTGTTTGTTTTAATACATAATTATGGCTATTAAGCACACAACCTATTCCGGTGCGTTTCTGAAAACTGTACAACCTTTCGCTGTAAAGGTTACAAAAGGCCTAATCAGAGATGTCGTGTTTGCTGGGAACATGCAACAAAAAGAATATACATTATTCATATGTCGATTGACTGAACTGCTGACATTCAACTGGCGATCACTGAATGTTTATCATCAGGAGCAACGAAGAAATAAGAAACGTAAACATGTTGAAATACTTTATGCTGAGAATTCGATTTTGTACCCAATAATATAATATTGAATAAAGCTAATAATAATAATATTTATCAGTTAGTAAATATGACTAATAAGCTTTCTCAGTCGGTGTGAAATATCTATTGAAAAGTAGTCATAATAAGATGATATGAATAATCTTAACTTCTCCTGTACCTCTTCTAGAGTTACTGTCGGTCCCAAGCCCACAAAAAGGAGGAGGGTTGGCATAGGGTTGGCGACCCCATCTTGTAGAAAACCAACTCCCTAAAAAAACGCTAACCAGAAAAAATAATTCAAACCATTTAGACTCTGCTCT